TCATATTTTTTACAATAATATTTATTAAAATATTTAAGCATTGTTGAGAGTTTAAATGTTCCATTAATAATTTTCGATGTTATTTTAAATTCGGTTATTGTGCATATTTTCATATATGGAACAGAGAAATAAAATCAATAGTAGAGAGTAAAAGCGGAAGATAGCGCATCATACGAATGTATCCATCCCTATGTCGTCACAAAAAAAATAATAATATGGAAAGCTTTATTACAAGCAGTACAACACATGTTGCAATTATATTTCTGGATTATGAACAAAGACCTACTTCTAGAATTGTGGACCATATGTACAATATCAATGAGATCATATATGGTCTTCCTCTTGGTCGTAGGAAACTGCCGCATGAGATAACGTTCTAATGATTACTGTCGGAATATCCGGTCATACGGAAATACGGTAATTCAGTCGGTCCACCACGGTTCGGCTCAGAACAGATCTACTAGTGGCAAGGCAGAGGGCATGACTCATGAAGCGCTGATGTTATGATACCCAGCCCTAAAAGTGCGGATACTTCGGCCCCACCGATTTCGCACTCTCCCTTACATTCAGACATTTCTGGCTGGGGGCTTTTCGCATAATACGTGAGGCAGAATATGCAGGTGGGCTGTCATACACTGGGTAGCCAGAAATTGGTACAAGGCTGCAGGCTTCTATGACACACAGATTTCAAATACTGGATCTCTACGGTATATCAAAATGTCTCAATTCTTGTGGTGATAATGAGAAAAATAGTTCAACTTTATGCTGTACTTGTTCACAATAGTGTTTTCTATGAAACTGTGTTTTCTTTTTGTTGATGATCTAGGGAAACTTACTTCCTGGATGGACCCAAAATATTTTTGTTGTCATTAAGTGTCTTGTAATTAAGCTGTACGCTACAACCATAGTTTCGCCATCAAGCAATGTCAGTCCTCTTCCGTTAGTGAAAACCCTCTCTGGGCCTTGTTGACGAGGCGTTGTGTGCCGCGCAGCGGCCGCCGCTGCGGGGCGTGCGAGGGCGTGCTCGTGAGCGGCCGCGGTGTGTGCTTGTCAAGACGTGGATGTTTGCGGGGAGCTGAGATTCGTGCCGTGCTCGGCACGTGGGCCCATCTTCCGCAAGCGCTCGCCTACAAGTGGCGGTCGGCGTCAACGTGGCTGAAGCGCAACTGCGGTGCGCCTGGCGCAGGTGTGGCTGGACGACTACGCCAAGTATACTACCACGCGTGGCGCTACGACCTGGGTACGTACCGTCCTTCGCACTTCTCTCTCATATCGCTGCGTGGGCTGCATTGTGGAACAGCTGACAAAAAATATGATTTTGACAGCACCATTCTTAGGTACATCCACGCTACAAATGGCGGAAAGGTGGTGAATGTATGAAATAATGCAAGTCAAAACACAGCGAAATTTTCAAACTCAATTTAAGCTCTGCACCAGAAATTTTTTGAGGTTGTGCCTCTATTTGAAACCCACGAACAGATATTTATTTTGTATAAGCTTCTTAGTGTTTTAAGGTGACTTATATTGCTTTGTATACTAGCTACAACGCCGACAAAACATTCCGCTTTATGTAAATCTGCTTCATACTCGTGTTGTTTTTTAGAAGTAAAATTTTACTTATATTGGAACGCCAGCCCCGTGTGATTCACAACCTACGTTTGTAGAGTGGGAAAACCCTCCAAAAATGTAATAATAATCCAGTAGGGTTTCATTTTGGTGGGCTTACGGCTACGAACATAACTCTAGCGATACTATGGTTTAATATCCTAGGATGCAAGGTGTTGACGTTTTGCACAATGGAAGCGTATTGAGGCGTACGCGTGGTGTTGTTGCATGTGCGCCTGCTATCCCCTATATCGTAATCTACGAACTTCATTTTTTCCATGCTTAAACATATTTGACGCAGGGGCGGAAGTAATTAGTGATGCGACTGGATTAAATATATCGATGTTTCAAAATGAAAAACATTTATTTAATAATACATCAAACGAATAACTATTCAAATGTTTAAACCATGGATGTTTAAAAGCGGGTTTAGTAAAATCTAAAGTTGAATTCTTTTGCAACAAAATTTAATTTGGCAGTAGTCGTTATTTATTATTTATAATTAAGATTTAACCTAAAAGTAAAAAAAATACACCAATGGAGATAAGCTGAGTCTGAAAGCCTTATATATATATATATATATATATATATATATATATATATTAACCGACAAGGAAAAGCACCTTTAAAATAATTATAGTTGAATTACCTGTAAGGCGATATTTTTGGATTGCCTACGGTAATTATGTTAGATATTGTTAAAAAATCATGAACGATAGTGAAATTTTAATTACATTTTATAACATCTTGCTAAGTTGCAATCTTAAATTGAATCAGGAAAAGAGAAATAAATACTACTAAAACAGCATTTATTTTCTCGCGTGAGTATTGGTTAAGTAATAGTACCGCAATTTCTGTCCATAATAACACATCTTAGTCATCATTTGTAAAGCTCATAATTAGAGCCCAGAAGTTTAGGCATTTATTTTACCTAAAATATTCAGGCAAAAAGGTATCTATTTTTACTTAAAAAAGGCATAATTCTAGCTAAAACAGGGGTGTAATGCACAAGAAACATTGATACATCATTATTTAAAAGTAATTATTGTAAAACAAATAGTAGTTGAAATGATTCACATTTTTATTCTAACTCAAATTCATTACCACTTACGTGGAAATAAACTACCCTTTCTTGGCAATATGACAGCACGTGACCATCCGGTATGACGACTACGCATTTATTTTACTCGCGACGCTGTCTGTGGGAAACGCTATTGTGGATTGCTTTTTGCATCTTGAAATCGGAATTAGAGATTTTGTTCTTTGCACTTGTGTAATCGCCAGAAGGGAAGAGAGAACAAGAAGGAGCTGAAAGGGGTATATCATCAACAGAGCTCTATCCTCAAAAGGGATCTGAGGCAATATTCAAACCTATTCCTCTGAGGGAACAAGTCTGTTAACATCAATGAAAAATATCAAAAATCTTCACTGGTATCATCTTCCTTTCCCTTTTAGATGTTTAACACAACCTGACACTGGAGCCACCACAGGAAGACAATATACGACCTTGCCTTCATGTTTTCCAGAATAGCAGGTATGATTCCAGCTTTGATGGATTGGTGCCAGGAGAAAAAGGAGAAAAAGACCAAAAAGGCACACAATAAGGCAACGGTCACAAATAGCATTGTAGCTTAAATGTTGTTAGATTTATTTCGTCAAAACACAGTAAAACTGTACGTGACGTATGGGATTATTATTGACTGATTGAATCACAATTTGTTACACTTTGTCTATGTGATTAGCATCTTGCTTCAACTGTGGTGTTCATCCAGATTTAGGCAGCACTCTAACTTTTTCCCATTATACTTAAAAGCTTTTCGAAGCAGAGTGAGAATGGGTTCCACTGAAAATTGCCTTCGATAAGTACACGCTTTCGCCGCTCGCATGGCCAAGAGTGATACTGAGTCGGAAGCGGTTAAGGACGGTTTCGATGTAGCTATCACGATTTATAGCTTCCGAGCGATTGATTCGGTATTGCGGGGATGTCAGTCGTTTTTTTTTCTTCTTTAGTACCATACCAAAGTTAACACAGTGAACAGCTAGGTTTGTGTATGATCTATAAGTACACCAAGGACCAATCGATGAGACGATCTAGCCTAAAACAATTATCACAAATGTAGTGAATTTGAGGGAAATATATTACTACATTTCTATTATGCTTATTATTACCGTCAGGTGTTTTAAATGTTCCGATAGATAAAGTATGAAGTGCCTATAAATATAGAACGGATTCTCCCTTCGCCCTAAAATCTAGTGATCAAATTAAAAGCTGCTCATTATTTTGGATAAATTTCTGACGTATGTGATAAAATTAGGTAAATATTTTCAGTTCTTGAATTTCGATTTCCTGCTTCAACCGCTACATATTTTGTTTCAAAAATTTTCCTTCTTTCAACATAACGCCTCCCCTTGAAATCATATGATAACACTTGATTGACTCACTATTTTTCCTGGAAGGTTCTCAAATGAACTCGATTATCTTTTAACGCATTGCACTCAATCTTTAACTACTCAACGAAAGACTCTTACACGCTGAAATGTATTTCTTGACTCAAGTAATGAATAGGTTCACTCACACATCTGTAGATCTCAAGAAAATCAATTCTTTTAGTTAACAAAAAAATGCAGACATTGGTTATTTCTACTTAGTAAGAAAATCAAGGAGAAAAATTAATAGCTCCATTTCTTCGTTTACACCTTAAACATTTGTTCAAATGTGTAATAATAAACTAACTACAATTAAAATCTCACGATCGTGGAGACCTTGATTAAACTTGACCAGTGGCATAGAACTTTACAAACATGGTGTTCCTTCAGTAATGTTTTAAATGAGAACAAAAACAAGTCGTTGAAAATTTACTAAGAAAGCTGTATATCGTAGCGATATGACTAATTTTTGGAAGGTCAGATATACATTTTACAGATTGTAGTTACTGTTATTGAATGCAAAATACTCAATAAAACGTATAAATACGTACATTTTACTGTGAAATTTGAAATAAAAACAAATTTCTATACATAGATGCATAGAAAAATTACAAGGTTGATAATCATCAAATTTGTTAATAACGAATTTGTTGATCGTCAAGTATCGTCAAGGTCGTCAGATGTACAGAGGAATTTCAAGTTTAAGACTGAATGCAGAGAAAGGAAATACCTAATTTCACATTTGCCGTTTTTTTATTTACCATGATCAGATTCAGAAGTAAATGAAACAATATTTTTTTACTTGTGAATGGATTTGCTACTTCACACTAAACACGCAGTTCCTAACTAACGTTTAGCGCACTTCAAACCCTGCTGCGTCCTCAAATTTAGATTTTGCTTTGGAGTGACACATTGGTGCACGCGTACAACCCCGACCAAAACCAAAACGTGAAAGCAGGTGTTTCGGAGATGGAAGGCAAACCGGAAAAGAAGTCAGAACTATGCAAAATAAATGGAAAACTGTTTATCCCGTAAAAAACAAGTGAAGATGAAGAGAGGCCCTCTCATTCGCGAGGATCCTTTTCATGCGCTGTCGCATTTTGCCCTTTCAAAGTCAAGCAAAATCGAACACTCTTTCTCCCTCTCTCTACGTCTATGCAAAATCTGTGACAAAATAGCATTCCTCCTCACGTAATGCAGTGGTTTAAAACCCTTGTCCAACAGTGATGCTCATTCAAAAGTCGTTCTTTCCCACCCACGCCACGTCTTTTCGTGATCTCGCCAAGGCTCGCAAGTGTTCCCACAAGTCTCAAAGCCTCTTCCACTTCGCCAAGTTTGCACTTCGTGCTACTTCGACGCTGGTAGTGGGTTCGAGCTACAAAGCTCCGTGCTAAGAAAAAAGGCCTCAACAATCTTCCTTGGCGTCTTGGAAACAAAAGCTTTTCTTTTGTCAGAGTGAGTGTTCGTTTCCTTTATACATTTCTCATAGATTCTCGTGAGTTTCCAAGCGTTTAACTAATACGCATGCTTACACTTAATTCAAGAAAAAGTATTTTCATTAAGGTTCCGAATAAACTCCTGAATTACGGAGTTCATTTATAGGAAGTAAGATACACTACTACTATACTACAAGTGAGACAAGGATTCATCATCCGTAATAACAATAGAGTTATTTATCACAAGTAAAACATTTTGAAGAATACAATTAAATAAGCGCTCTTTCCGAAGACAATTTTGTTTTATATAGCATCGTCGACTTCCACGACCGGAATCAATATTAGAGTATGTTTCCGGGCTGGTATGCTGTCGTCCAGTTCGCATTGAAGGTCCAAACGTTTCGTTCACGACTACGGTGAACATCTTCAGTAGTGACAAGATTGCGCGCTTTTCGTTTTGTTCCAATAATTTACTCAAACAGATGTGCAATATGTATCCATGGTACTCGAGGGAAAAATCTTAAATCACATTCTTAATGATTCACACGTAAATCTTTTAATTATAATTCACCAACATTACTACAAATATACATTACTACAATATTATTTATGAGGGACTTTACGGCGAAGAATAACAAAATTCAGGTAATATGTTACTTATGCCAAAAGTTGACATAGTATATGGAATACTGCGCGTTAAAAAGGCCTTTACAGGTCAATTACGACGCGTAAGTAGCTTTTATTGAAAGCCAATCCTGTCAGGCTTTCTTTCTTTCTTTCTTTCTTTCTTTCTTTCTTTCTTTCTTTCTTTATGTAAAGCAGGCATAGTTTGTGGCGTCTGTATAAATATTTTCCTTCAGTAAGAGTCAGTTCATTTTACCCTAGACTAATAGTTTATTTCGCAACGAAGTAATTCACAACGTCGAAGAAACTCGACAGTGAAGCCTATCTTAAGCGATCACAAATGGTTCCAGCAAAAATTGGCGGTTAACAGAGGAAGCCGCTAAATCTAGTTTATGGGATTAGGGGAAGCCTTCATCAGCTCAAATTGTGTTAATTGCTGTGAAATAAAATACTCTTCTTAAATAATTTTGATTACTTAAACTACAAAATACAATTTACACAACAAATTGCACTTGAATTTTAAAATACAGACAAATGTGATCGCGCATGGATTTTACTGACTTTTTCATCAAAATGTCTTGTAGAGATGTGTGTTTAAGTTTACAAAAGTTTACAACAGAGGTTTTGAAACATCGTAAAAGTGTACTTATTAATTCGTGTTCTTCCCTTCATAAAATATCAGCACGTTTTCTCTCAGAAACCCCCTTCCTCATTTTCTAAATTCACTTCTTAGTGTCGAACATCATTGTCTTGTAACTTCTCTTCTTCCTTCTTCGGTCCTCTCCGAACCGAATACACAAGCAAGGTACTCATCAAAATACAGTTTCCATTCTGTGAGAAGGACCATCCGAAGGACGCCTCAGGATGTTGTCACAGGTATGTGACAATGACCTTCAGATCAAATTCGCGCACACGGCTTACTCAGCAGACCCTACACAAGGCCCCGGAGAGGGGAAGCAGAAAAGGTCAGCAGGAGCAACTTCCCTAGAATGCGCGAAATGGGCGAAGAAAAACATTGCTAATTCGTGGAGGTTTTTTTGTTGTTGTTTTTTTTTTGTTTCGTGTATGCCGAATTGGACCACGCGTGCACGCATTTACCGGGGCTCATTTACCATCTCGGTGGCAGGTGCATGTAACTTTGGGACCAGGTGACCGTTTAAACGAGCAAAATTTTGAAGGTATAACCAATCGGTTCCACAAAAAAAAAAGATGTTAAATGGAGGTGTCTGTTAAATTAGGTTTTACTATATTCTTGATTTACTACGTGTAACCAATAATAGCGATATTTCTCACGCAAATGTGTATTATTGTACCGTCAGCATTTGCACTCACATTGATATTGATTAAGTTTTGGAATAATTTCGCTAGGATAACGTTCTAATGTTATTTATAGTTATTCACAAAAGTATCTCAAGGCGAGATAGGAGAATAAACGATGCCGATAGATCGCTCTTAAATTGTAATGAGGTGTTATGCATACCGTACAAATTATCAATTATTCGAAAATTCCAATCAACTATAAATTATTTATTGGTTAAATTTGACTGTTCATTCCCAAAAAGGTGACAACCTCATGTTAATAGTAGTTGATAGGACGCCCAAGAATTTTTATTAATTACTAAAGACACTTTTATTCTAATTATTCTTCTTTCAAAACTGATTTCAGTTCCAAAATGTATGGTTTTAGATAATCAAAGTTAATAAAACAAATAAATCATATGCAAGACGATCAGCAGTGACTGTACGGTCTTTGAACCTGGAATTGAAGGAATTGAAGAGGGTACGAGATGTAATGAAAGAAGGATTTAAAAAATAACGACATGTATCTCAGGAATTGCCCTTACTTTAGATGCTTTAATTCAAAGAGCAAAAACGTCCAACCAGAGACCTTCGAGAAAAAAAAATAATTGGACGGAAGGTGTTACGATTCCGAAGTTTAAAAATACTTTTGGGGAAGTAGAACGAAATGTTTTGAATTTGATTCAACTTAAAGTATGTTGATGATTTTATTCATCCTTAATTTACACGTGGCTGAATTCATCTGGCAATTTTTCAGTTGGTTCGTGAAAAATTTTGTGTACCTTCACAACTTCCAATTATTAAATCATGAGATCACTGATGACGAGAGAAAAAATGAGAACAAAAAGTTCCTATTTTAATTTGAAGCTATAGTTTTTGTTGCTAGTAATTCTATTAATTATCTTTCTTCACTGTAATATTTATGTAATTATTCACTTACTTTCTTGCCATCTCTTTTTATTAATTTCGGACTGTTCTCCAACCGCACCTGCCATTGGTTTCAACCTGAGAAGGGTTCATAATTCTCAATGTTATCGCCATCTCTTTATTGGATAACTGCGAACCTTCTCCCTTTAAGGTCGCTGTGTTGAAGAGCGTAGTTCTGTATTCATTCTATTGGCATACGGTGCAAATGTTAATACGATTATATTCTCGTTTTCATTTCCTGTAGGTTCCAAACAACTGAGAGCATTGCGCTGTAGAATAACTTTTATCCTCGTCCGTCAGATGTGTCTTTGCTCGTACGATGAGTCTAAAGATCCAGTCATGGAGCGCGGCGTGCGGCCGGCGGGGCCAACGACCGCCTCGACTGCCGCGCCGAGGGGGCTTCCGGCTCCCGGCCACCGCGCCCCCTCTCCCCCCCCCCCGGGCGTAAACCGCTCCGCTCCCGTCCTCGCTGCTCGCAAGGCGGGTGTTCGACGTGAAGCAGTGGCTGCTGGTCCAATCACGAGCACCCGAGGTGCCCGGCGAAAGTTTGCGACCTTTGATGTGCTCAAAAGACAAGAGACGCTCGCGGGAGCACTGAATGTTTCTCTCCTATTGGAACATGAAATCCGACGCCGACCTACATGCTTGCAGATTTCGGCACTCGGTTTATCGCAAGCAACCCCAGAGGCGTACCTATGGTATGACAGACCTGGCACGTGCCATGAGCACCACTCACAAGGGGCGTCCGAGATCGCTAAGGCAGTAGTAGTTCCGTAGCGATCTCGGACCGAAGTATCGGGGTTGGGTTCGAGTCCCGCCTCGGGCATGGTTGTAGGGTGTCCGTTCTTTCACCCCTTATCATCATCATAGCGTGTCATCCTCAGAGTTATCATACCATTACAAGCAATAGTGGTCGCTAATGACCTAGAAGTTGATGCGACCTTAAATTATATTTTAAAATATACTTTAATTTGAAGCATTTTGACAGAGCCGCAAAATTCTATGCTTGCTATGGGTGCCTGAACACATAGATACTGGGCAACATACTCTGTGAGCAACCTCACTAGTCGGATTTCGATGAGCGGTCATTTATTCGGAGGTTTTTATCCCGGGAGGTGGCGGTGTTCATCTCCCGTTGGATGTTGAGGTAAGGTATTGACCTACATGTCGACTTGTGGGCCATTTCTACCTCCAAATATCTCCTTCAGAGGGCACTGCCCCAGCCGTGACAAGCTCTAAGCTCCCGACTAGTGTTCCGACGAGTACGCTAGTGGTGGAAATGGTGTGTGGATAGGACAAGGAAGAGAAACGAATGATTGCCCGTGTCCTATTTGTTAGGGTAGTGCTCTGGCATTCGCTTGGTATTGAACGGAGAAACTATGGTAAACTACCGATCACAGCAGCCGGCCGCTAGAAGTATCTTCCAGGCAGCGACAGATCTCGACCTGGCTAGTGTCAAAAATACTGTCACCGTCGGGACTGGAACTTAGGAGAGTCAGAGTCGCTGCAGATAGTAGCAAAGCTGTCTCGGAGCTATGTCGGTCAAAATGTTTGGCGTTGACAATTGCCTAGTGATACCGAGGATGTTTAAGCATAATTTTCGACCATTCCTTCCTCTCACCTCTTCTTTCCTTTCCCTTCTCCCATCTACTAAATGCCTGCCGATCATCCCGATTCAGTCCTCGATCATCTGAATTAACTCAAGGAATAAACTAATAATTCAGAACTATACGTTTCCGCCGATGCCAACAAATTGTAAGTGAGCTGTTTACATTCCTTGCAGAAATACAAATTGCGGTCTCAATGTTAACGTATCCTGCTTGATTCCGCGAGTGACTGTGCTTTATTGACTTTACCTGAATCGAGAGTTAAGGCCAGACTACTTCATCACAGTTTTATGACGGGTATGCTAAGCCTCGCACGCATTGTAGGGAAAGTTCGCTCGGATAGCGATGACGAATGGCCGTGTGGCTTTTCGGGCGACGCTGAAAACTGTAAAATCTCGGGTAGAGGAAAATAAATACTTTCTTGCACGCTAAATTGGCCCCTGGTCAATGCACCAACCATTTTCCCACAAATATGCTGTTAAAGAACTTCTGTGGCGTGTGCTACGAAGTGATGATTAGGTTCCTCAGCCATATTCGCAGAAACCGTTAGTTTGCATTTCCTGCAATTAGTATCTATTTGTGAAGCTGAAAAATGTAGTTTCTGAGAAGTAAATACACAAAATAACAGCTTTTTGGGTGTTAACAAAATAATGGTCCCAAATTATGTTGATTTAATGAGTTATGTTGGTTAAATTATGTAAACTCGATGATTCTACTCTTAAGCATATTTGACAGACACTACATAGGAAGACATTCCTATCTGCGGAAATACCACTCAGAAATAACAACTCGTTCACGAAAGGTGTAAATCTGTTTTCCCTTTTGCTGCCTATAGTTTTGTGAAAGACCAAGGCGCGTGGTCTTTGTTGAGAGCTCGTTCCTGCTAATGTCCTTGGTGTATTCAAGCGACCCGGAGTAGTGCGAGTAGTGCAGGATTTTATAAAGTGGTAAGGCAATCGCACATTACGGAATGTGGCTTGCAATCCTATCTTGCGCCACATGTAAATCAGTCGCTAGCACATTTCTCGCACAATGTGCAGATCAACTTAAGGCATTGTTTAATTTGCATTGATACTAACATAGTTGTACGTTATCTTAACGCCAGGCTTTTAGAAAATCTAACATTCTGGGCTCTGGTAATCATAATTGTTCGGAGTACTGGTATTTGAGTTTTAAAACGTATGGAAGGTATGGAACCTTAGGTGATTATATAAGAACGTATTTTAGCGTATCCCACTTATAAGCGTTCCCGCCTAAAGAGGCAAATATATAGTTGTTTCCCAGATGTTTGTATCTCAGCCTGTCGCAGTGCTGCGAGACGAATTTGTTGATGGTTTGGTGTGGATGACGCTGAGGTCGTCGTTTGTTGCAGGGCGACTACGGCGACGTGTCCGCTCGCCGTGAGTTGCGGCAGAAGCTGGGCTGCAAGAGCTTCCAGTGGTACCTGGACACCGTGTACCCCGAGCTCTTCATTCCCGGAGAGGCGGTCGCTTCGGGAGAGGTAAGGTCTCGCCTCCACTACGAGGCTCGCATGAGGGTGTGCCCACCCGGACGGATCGCGTGGACATGGAATTCACGCAACGAATTTCTTTGAACCGGAGTGTCCGCGCCTGGACAGTCCCGTTAAAGTTGTAACAGACTGGAATCAACGTTTATGTAACGCTCCACACGATAAGATATGTCTTCGTGGATTGGGGGTGAAAAGAGAATTCGAGATTCCCTACTCGGCTAACTATGACACTAGATCGCTCGAAAGGCTACTGCCAGCAGGGGGGAGGGTATTCTACCAAGCGACATGTATGTAAAACTAAGCCAGTCTCCTGCTCTAATTCTATTTTTCACGAACCTAGTCAGGAAATATAAACTAATGACGTCTCTTAATATTCCGTGCTTGGTTCTTGATGTATGTAAATCTCCCGTCATTTAGAAATTATTAATCATGTCTTGTTTTATATAATATTACGAATTATAATCCGAGAAAAAGAAAGAAAATAACCCCGGAATGAGCAAATTTTAATAAATTAATTAGCAAATTCATCCATTGCTTACTTTCTGCTAAACATCTGAATACATGTATACAATAATAGATTGTTCATCACTTTATTAGGTAAAATTCGTAAAAAATAAATATTTTTGATCCTGAGTATCCGTAAAAAGTAAGTAAGGACTGCTCCTCACCTATGATCTACAAAGAAAAGTGGTGTCTATAAAAACATATTTTTCTGAGTATCATGACGCGTTAACTTGGTTAATAGAATCAACTTATGAAGCAATGAAAATTGAAAAAAATCACTGAGGACTCATATCAGAAATGAATTTATCCCCACATTTTATCTAGTAAAAATACTTATGAAGCAAATATAAGTGAACAATCTGTCCATTTTTTTCAGAAAACGTCTACGATTAATTATACTGCAATATTGTGAATATTCTCACACCGCATTCTGTCCAAACAAAATCCAAAATAATTATTTGAAAGTTTTTTTCATCGTTTAGAAAGTATTCCAATAATGATATTTTTTTGTATTCATGTGAAATCAGGCAAACAAAAGGGAGCTTCTGTATGGTATTGATCACTTGGAGCTTTTTTTCGTATTGTCTATTTACTTTATCTCAATATCAGCACTCTTCAAGGATAGGTCACAGTTTCAAACACATAAGTAGTAAGCATAAATAATATTGAAATTACAATAAATAAAGAAACCTTCTGTAAAGAGGACATGGTACTGGACTTCTGTAAAGATGGCACGGGTGATCTGCGTGCGGAAGCCTCTTGCCGTAGTGTTCTCTCGCAATAAAAAGGCCCTCGCTTTGGCGACGGGCGAGGCAGCGGCCCCATAGCCCGCCTTCACATGGAGCCACTCTAAAGCGCAAACCGAGAAGCGCCGGCAACGGGTCCCTTAACCAAGGCCACTGACCAGCGCCACTCACTGAGCGGGCGAAAGGTTCGAGTCACCTCTGCGATCAGACATGTTAATAGATAAGCTCACTGGCGCGGAAAGATGTCTCCTGGCGGGAGTGCGCCACAAATCACCACAGCAGCGCCACCCCACCGCCCGTGTAAATACCTCCTTTTAAACCAATGTTTTGTAAGCAGAAGTGCTACTCGGATGCACTGTTGAGTGTTTCCGTGAGAAGGGGTAGCTCGCAGCGCTCTTTCCTCATCTATTCTGCTTGTTGTGTCGTTATATGAAATGTAGACATCGCAATTAATAAAATAAACGCGGACCAAATCGCGAAAATAAAGCTTTATGCTAAAGCTTTAAGTGTTGACGATGTAAATGTTCGCATCTTGTTCCTTAAAAATAAATTTTACGATCGATAAGAAAATAATAAAAACAAGAATCCTTCTCATTGTTACAAAGAAATTGTTCTTGAAGCTGAAGCTACTTATAGTTAAAGGGTAATAGGTTCACAAAATAAATAGTACTGTGATAAGCAATATCTCGAGTATGATGTATACGGTAAAGATTCTGTATGCTAGTAATAATGTTGATCATCACCTCAGCTAAATTTCAAAAGTATTCTCATTGTTCGTAAATGAGAATATTCCTGTGATACTGCTCCAGACACATTTAGTTATTGAAATATAATTCTAATCCATTTCTAACGTTTATTATTCGTATAACGCATACTTTACGAATGCTTTAGTCACTTTGATCTTATTCGCAACACCGTTAAGAATCATAGTACTCTTGAGTAAAGGAAGATAATATATGGCGACAACATGAATGAGGTTAATAAACATTATTTAATTGTTAATTTAATCGATAAACCTGAACTCGTTCTTTCTTAGTTTCTAAATCATTTGTTACAAGCTCTATGCATCGCCGTTGGGCCCTCCGTACACTTTCATACAAGTCGTGCACAAGACGTTGCCAGAGAACGAGGGATGGTTTCCTTTCTCTGGTGAGTAACTGGCGTTCATGTCCATTTTATTAACAATACTTCTATATTTAAAAGTGGATAAGTACATTGAAGAGAGGGACTCAGATAAACCATGACAACCGGACATTAATTTTCTTTGAAGAGAGATATTTATATTTCACAAGCACAGGAGAGACATTTTTGTTCCAAATTCGATATAGCTAAATTGCATCATTCAAGTCGAATCCTTCGGAGTAGATGGCGATAAAAAGTTAATTTTTTAAACAAAATGTAAAATGCACAAAAAACTTAATAGAATGTTTCTTTTAGTTAAATTTGATAAATCAGTTATTTTAAAGTTGGTTTCTAAATGTATGTTTCTCATAAAATTCTGCAAATGCATACTTTAAGGTTGTCGAACAGCCAATGCCTTCTTATCGGAGAATTTTGTCTCGACGGTTTAGGCGCTAGTGTTGACCACAGACAGGCGTTTTACCGTCAACCAATTTTTCGAAATCAAGGACCCACAAAGCGCGCATTCTGACTTCCCAATGTTTTAGCGGAAGTAATTTACTAAATATTGGAACAAGATATATCCAAGTTTTCAATACCATTTCCCAACAAAACCCGTATCTTTTTTTAAAATATCGACGATTTCTGCCGCTACAATGCTTTCACTTTACTCATAACTACGTAGTAAGCGAGAAAGAAAGAAAAAACCCGTATTGGTTGAAAATTAAAAAAGGAAAAAGGAAAACAAATACCTGAAAGTAGGAAATAAATCACTGTGAGTGAGGCAAACCTTTCCATTTTTTACAAATTTATCTAGTGTATAGCAGAAGAAGGACATTAAAATGAGTAAATCTCTTCCAGGCATATGTAATTAAACAATTATAAACTCAATTTCTTAGTCAGTCTAGTGTAGAGTATAAGAAATATTTCATTTTTGCAAATATTTGTGTACTTAGTTTGAGTTATATTATAACCATCAAGAATTTCCAAGATCATCAGCTTTCTTTCATTAATATTTACGAAGATATTACACAAAAGGTATTAAATAATAAAGTTTAGTGTTTTCATATACCTAAACATTATATATCACACTTTTCAACAGCATATGTCTAACAGGTCATCATGTGGGTTAAATAAAAATAAAGTTTTTATTGGTCACTAGTAGTTTAGGTACGTTGTTAAGCTATACCCCCATACGGTCGGCCTCGTTTAATGTAGCCTAATGTAGTTGAATAGCTCGGAATAATTCTGGACCAATAAATTCAAATTGGACATACGCATGACCACGTCACATAACCGCAAAACAACTGGCGGTGTGGACCGTCCCGACTCGCCGTGCGTGCGCGGACTAGCCGTTGATGTCATCATTCAGCACGAACGGAACAGCAAGACGGAATGTCTACAAGATCATTCCTTCGGACGTATTATAAACGGCGGAGGTTGCAGATCGGATTGTTCCGTTCGGACTGTGACGGTCTAGTGCGTACGCCCTTAAGGGAAACAAGGCTTAAGAAGGATCTTTCAAAATATTAGTTCTTGAGAATTGAACACTTGCACAAACACACTCTGGAGATATCCGCCATTCCTCTCCACGCACCTCTCACCACCTCCGCTACTTATCTTCACCGCCGCCTTCACCATCACGAACGACAGAGCACAGTTCTCTTCAACAATTCACTACCCCGGCCCCGTTTCCCCATCCCGACTCGTCTCGTTCCTTTCAATTAAGGCATTTCCTTCGTGCTTGTTTTTATTTTTCCCGACTGATCGTTTTGCGTAATAAGGGAGGGCCGGAGGGCTGAGAGCCTTTGTCTTTTGCTAAAGTTCTCCGAGTTTCCAATCCCCGCGCCACTGAATGCCGATTGCCTCGCGAATTGTGATGGCCGCGGATCCAAAGCTCCAGCTGCCAGCGGCCTCGAAAACGTCTTGAACCAGATATCACAGAGTTCGCGAGGAAACGTTTTTGTTGTTCGCAATTATGTTACCTCCCTTGGCCCAAGTGTTGGGCGCAGAGAAGTGAATAAATTCTAAAAATACACTATCGTTCGCTGCTAATTAGGTGCAAGTTGCATATGTGCTCTTACGCCGACGAGCAGAGTGGAGTAGGATACGGGTCTCGAAATTTACTTTGAGCTTTGAATTAATTAGTCGCAAGTCCTCAACGGCAATGGTTAGACAAGTGAGTCGCGCGTCGTCGTTAGATCTTCAAGTAAACTAAGAAAAAATAATTTTTTAAAGTAGTCAAGAGCGAAGTTGCTTCGGGTAGAAATTCAAAAAACGCCGGTTCCAGGTAATTTCGCTCCAGTATGAAGGCAAGGAACTGTAGGGGACTCGAGAAAGGACTCGATCGATCAACCATTACTTCCTAAACCGAACAAACCGATGAAATATATAGTGTGTACCACAATGGAAGGTTTAAATCATCTGCGACCGGTAGAAAGCAAAAAAAAATCATTTTTGAAACAAGTATAATCTGAATATATTCAGTCGATAATGATAGTCGAAAGCGACAATTACGAGCGATGAGTACTAATAAGACAGATTTAAAAGATTTTTCGATTATTCAGTGCACGGTGCAGGTATTTTGCAAGAATTTAGTTGCAGAACAAGTGGAGTTCTACATTACATAACATTCCTAACCATTTCCTTATACGTTATATTTATTAATCCACTTGTTTTCAGCAAGACTCGTGAAGTCAATAGAAGTGTTACACTTGATTTTTAATAGTGCTTTTACTTCAGTTGGAATGCAAAAGTGTTCAACCAGCCGACTCATTAACTATCGTTTAGGCATCCTGCCAAAAGGCTATCTCGTTAGCCAAGCCTGGATTTCCAGGTTATTCGCCCCGTTCAAAGCAATAAGGCGGGTTATTCATCGCAACTAAGTCGTCAAAATATCTCTTATGATTGGATTGTCCAGCGGTAACCACTTGTCTGACAACTTTTCTGAAGGGCGGGAGTCAGGTCAATGGCCTTTGAATCTTAATCTTCTCGGGAGATTCATGTAAGGTAAAAAACTGTGTATTAAATTTTGCCAAATATTTCACTCTGATTCTAATGCAAATGAGTATTAACGTGTATCGGTGGCGTGTTCTTCCATACATTTAGAAAGTTGTTCATTGCTCTTCAGGGCATTTTCTTCCTTTAGTCAGGGACTTTGGAAGGGTTTCCAGAAAGCAAAACGTAATACGTAAGGGATCCAAAGGATATATGCTCATTTTTGCTTCACCTGTACTGTTTCGCGAACGCACTCCAATGACATCACGTCGAGAACGAGAGACAGAGCGAGTTTGCCCACAGGTGCGCAACCTTGGCTACGGCTCCCGCACCTGTTTGGACGCGCCCGCGCGCAAGAAGGACCTGCACAAGCCCGTGGGCTTATTCCCTTGCCACAGACAAGGTGGTAATCAGGTGGGTAGAGAGTGCCGGCACGGCGTTCGGTCGCCGCGACAGGCCGAGGAGGAGGCGGAGGCGACGCCAAGGCGACGGGTGCATCTAAATTACTACAAAATGTTAATTTGATTGGTAGATCAACTATGAAAATGAAAAGAAAATAATTATATTATTTATATGAAAATCTGTTTTTCAACTTCTGAACGTTCAGACCTATTGGAAAATTGTCAGTAAATGAAAGTGTGTTTTAAAAAGTATCAATATTATACATCATTACTTTCCCTTATACGTGCTAATAATAGGAGTTACCGTAGTATAGGAAGTTATTGTAATGAATGCCGAAAATCGGATTCGAAATTCACGGAAATACACGTTTGGGGTTCCTGACACGGAAAAGTGGTTCTTTTCAAACGTCCGTATGTCCCGTCTGCCCTGCGAACACACTAAACGCCTAAGCCCGTTCGTAGGACTTTTTTCAAATTTGAAGAAATCCTTCGTTCATCTGGCTCGACTCGAAGCTTTGAGGTTTTGAAAAACTTCTTTA